ATATATATATATATATATATATATATATAAATCCATGTTAAAATTGTTGAAATTTTTGTCCGAAGGAGCAATGGGTCAAAGTTGATGGCTATCTTTCCGCATGCCTTCTCCTATAAATACCACGAAGCCATTATACAATTCATTGCAACAAAATCATCCTCTCCGCTACTGAAAAAATCCTCCTTCCCTTATATATATTGTCTGTGATTTGTAAATCATGACTTCCGTTAGCATTGAGATTGAGATTCCTTCTTCATTTCCTGCCGACAAGGTTTTCAAAGTCTTCAGTGATTTTGACAATATTGCACCTAAAGTAAATCCTGATGTTTTCAAGTCCATCGAGACAGTCGAAGGCAACGGAGGTGTCGGAACCAAAAAGATCTTCACATTTGGTGATGGTAAGAACTTGTAACATTATATAGTGGCTTTGATTCATATTATCCAAATTGTTAAATGACTTTTAGTTGATGGTTTTTAATTTATTACTCCTTGTTTATATTTTATTTCTTAACATAAATTACTTTCTACAGCCGTCCCATTCACAACTGGAAAATATAAGGTTGATGCCATTGACACGAGCAACTTTAGCTATAGCTACTCGTTTTATGAAGGTGACAACTTGCTGGGCATATTGGATTCTATCGCTCATCATATTAAGATTATACCTTGTGCTGATGGAGGAAGCATATTCAAGCAAACAGTCATTTATAACTGCAAAGGCAACGATAAGCCATCTGAAGAGATTCTTAAGGCTGGAAAAGAAATATATGAGAAAACCTATAAGGCTATCGAGGCTTATGGTGCTGCCCATCCCGAATCTTATTGAGTTATCTTCATCAACATGTTTTCTTATGGATTCAAATCCTTTTCATTTTCGTTAGTGTGTTTTTGTGCTTCTTTTTTTATTATGGTTTGAAATAATGGACAATGATCCAGTTATAAACGTTGTACCATGTTCCCATTTGATATGATATAATTTGTTTTCTCTAATTTATGGCATGCTTATTTTCTTGTCCATTAATTCTTTACTGAACATTACTAACAAAATAGTGTTTATAGAAAATGTTGTTGCTTTATTGTGAAAAGACATTACATGTTTTTTATTGAAACATACTAAATTGGTACGTTTGAATAACTCTAAATGTTGTTGGACCTCTAATCTCCTCACAAACAGTTTAAAAGCTCGATTTCATGTCTTAGATTTATCAAATGAAATTCTGATCCGAACACTTAATGGGTGCGCAAATCAGTCATCGAAATCTCGACATAAATTCTAAGAAGGTATCATTTCATGCATCAAATTTGTGAAGCCCAATCTCAACACCCAAATGGTGCCATATATAAGCCTTTTCAGTGATGGAACCGCTCTCGAGCCTTCTTCCACCAAATGTTTCTCACAAGTCACAATCGTCAAGTAAAACCTAATCTCATCACTATATAACCATGTGTCATTTCATGTTAGACTTGGCTTTCGCTTGACATGCCAAAATCGATATCAAGTCTTTTGTCAACAAATTTTTTTTTGAGTTTAGTAATAAAAAATAATATTTTTTTAGCAAGGTCAAGTTAAATCCCAAGAATCCCGACCTGACCCTTAAGATCCAAATTAAGTCTACTTTCACAAACAAAGCGTGACCTGACCCAGCCCAAGGTTGTTTTTTGCTTACAAAATCACGTTTGGAAGATCTGAACCCAAACTCGAAAAAGGGGAAGCCTTGTGCATCTATTCGGGACCTAACAATTTTGATATTTTTTGGGATCCAAATGATATCATACGATGTTTTAGTTGTGTGCCTTAGGTATCCGATTATGTTCTATCTACCTCTTCCTTTACACACAACATTCTCTAAGTATACAAGAGATCCAACGTCGTTTAGAGTCTTATACCAAAACCATATAAGTTTTTCGGGTAAAATACGTGAAATAACAACTTACTGTCATAAATTTCGTTATTATAGTATATAATTTCATATATTCTTATTATTACAACAATGTACCATCAAAATATTTTTAGTTAGGGTATTGTATCATTAAAAACTTGCCTATTATAGGATTGAGTAATTTTTTGATTTGAATTAATATGACATGACACAAGTTATTAAGTATCATGCCATCTAATTGTCCATTTAGGCAATGTTGGACCTAGAATTATTTGTCGAGCAGATTCACCTTTAAGAATGATCAAAGGCCCACAAAGTCTCCTGATGTGGTTTTTAGCCAAATTCCAACATTTCAAATGATTAATTAAGTATTTTAGGTTGATTTCAAGAAAATTTTATATTTTTTGGTTAATTTTAGAAAGGGGGGAGTTAAGTTTTGTTTTGTTGTTTTCGAGGGATTTTTTTTTATGTTTTAGGTTGATTTATAGAGTTCTTTTGTTGTATTTTTAATATCTCAGAGTACTCCTCAAAGTTTAGTAGGTACACCTTTCATACCCAAAAAAATTATTTCGCCAGAATACACAACATTTTCCATATGTGCTACCTACATAAGTGCTTGGCAGAAACTTCTCGGAGATTCGTGTAAATGAGAATAACCGTTGCGTAGAGGAGCCGGAAACAATTCTAAAAAGAATGTCAAAGATGTTATGCCATAAAGATATTGTTTTGGTCAAAGTCCAATAGAAGCATCACCGAGGCTCTAACGTAACGTGGGAGGAAGAGGAGGATATGAAGAGGTTACCCTCATCTTTTTCTATAGTCTGGGATTTCGAGGACAAAATCAAAATTAAGGTTGGGAGGACTGTAACACCCGGATTTTCATACTCCTCCATTTTGTATTTGAATGTTAGGTTTTAGCCTTAGAATTATTTTATTACTGGAAGTTTATGCTGGTTTTTCCGTTAATAAGTTGTTATGCAAGCTTTACTAATTAAGTTATGCGGCTGAAACAGTGAGTCTTGCGGGTAGCCACACGAGTAAATCCGTCGCACAAGTCGCACGACTCACTGGAATGTTCGATCTATAGGACGTGGGTGACTAACCCCATGGCCTAAGTCGTGGGAAGTGGTTTGGTTCATTTATTATGTCAACTTCTTAGGGTGTAAGGCCATAATTTATCTCCTTCATTCTCTCTTCATGTACTCGTCTCTAACTTCGAACCTGTAGCATTTAAGGCATTATTTTGAGGATCCTACGAGTCATTCAAGAGCTTTAAGTACAAGATTCAGGTACTCAAGCTTAGGATTAAAGATCTATTTCTCCTCTTCACCATTTTGCTAAGTTTCTAGGTTTTCTCCAAAACATAGTATTGTGAATTCATCCTACACTATTATGAAACCATATACATGCTAAAAGGCTTAATTTTAGTTCCTTAGATTTATAATTTCAAGTATTTCATATCTGGATGATTTTAAACCAAGTAGGTGAAAGTTAGAATTTTTGGTATTTTTATGCATTTGATAAAATATGTGCGGGGATGATTATTTCAAAGTTTGCAATGGGTTTTGGGAACCAAAGATTTTCTTTATGGTCTTAACTTGGTTTTAACGATAAAATGGGAATTCTACCCACTTGATGGCTATATTTGTGTACAAATGTTTATAAGTTAGGTATATTTGACGTATCTAGAAAAGATATAAATATATGATACTAGAATGTAATAGATCCATAGGCAGAGAAATCAGTTTTATTTGGTATAGTTGGGATAATAATCCCTAATTGTAACTTGAAATAGGAATTGGGTCTTTATAAGCAATAAGGTACGGACTTTTCGGGCATTGGCTAATGACCAAAAATATGTAATTTCTAAGTGAAACAACTTAACTAGATATTAGGGATCTCAAGGTAAATGCCTAGTATCGTTGAACCTGGTGAGTCCACAAGCAAAAGACTTTGAGTAGTTGGGTTGGCGATCCATTAAACTATAGACTTGGAGAGGTTGATCTTAAATTATTATTCATAAGTGATGCTTATATAACATTATATTGTAGCTTACTTATGTGTTCCATCACTGTCCATGGTAAATCGGGTCTTCTCGGTCATCATAACATGTGTTAAGCCCTTCTATGGGTAAGTTCATTTTAAATGCAAGAAACAACTTGATAAAAGCTATGTTTTCAGTTTTATGTATTTTATAACTTTATTATATAAATGTTTGTTCTCACTAGGCGTTATTCCTAACACTTTTCTTAAATGGCATGTATATCAGGAACTTCTAGCGATGGGCCTCCTAAGGCTTGAGTGGGATGTTATTTGTCGGTAGAGGAATGGAGGCAAATTGTAGAGTTACAGATGAAATTTATTCTTTTTGATGATTGTAGCGATATACGATTTTAATCTAGATCTAGAATTGATTTAGATTAGTAGGTTGTTAGCTACCGACCATTAAAATTGTAAACTCTCTTACTACTTCCCCTTTTATTGGGGTGATTTTGTTTGATCTAGCTTTTGTCCGCTATAATATTACAGGTTTAAATCGACTCCTGTTTTAGGGGTGTTATAGATTCAGAACTTGATAGAGTGACCCGATTATGGTTGCCGCCTGGTGGGACCTTAATCGATTCTTGACGCTTATCCCTCCTTGGTCGGTCTGGGCTAGATCTGCTTTGGTAACCGGCTATTGATCTACCATGGTTAGTGAAAAGTATAGACGAATTCTACTCTGATACCAAATGACAAAGTGGGAAGTGCAGAAGGATCGATAAGCGTCTAACTCTTATTTATGTTTTTGATAATTACGAACGTAAAACCCAAAATTTAGAGAATAATCTTAAAAAGAAGAACATCTATTAATAATCAGTAATCTTGATTAACATTGAAGACTATTTATCCACAATTAGATGAAATATTACTATAAAAATAGCCAAAATCAATTCTAGGCAAACTATAAAAGCAATCAAACAAATAGTAGATAAAGGTAAAATAAAGGAAAAGGGTAGCAGCTTGAACTCTGGAGGTTGCGGGCGACTAGCGCCGCATGGTTGGTTGTGGGGTCGTGGCAGAGAATTAGGAGGGTAGTTGTGTGGGCAAAGGCACAGGAGAAGCCGCGTGGGTCCTGCGTTCGACTCCAGTAAGTTAGGCGGCTTCCCAAGTGAGTTAAGTCACACGGGAGGTTGCGAGCGGCCCTGTTTGGGTTTTCTTTCTGGTTCTATTTGTTCATTGATTTTGCTAGCCAACTTCTGTGTATCATCAATATTCAACGCATGCAATTTCAAAATCAAAATTTCATTGGTATTATTTAGTTCATGTTGTTTATTATCTTAATCTTGATTGTTAAACGATAAATATGTTTTTTTATAATAATGTGCCCTTTTAGTAAGGGGGTGTTTAGGATTGCTTATTTGAAACAACTTATACTTTTTTTACATGAGCACTTATCAACTTATTATAAGTCATAAGGGTTTAATTTTTACAAAAACTCTTTATACCGGTTTGGCACCGGTATAAATTATTTATCCAAACACTCAAAAGTGTTTATTACCGGTGCCACACCCCCTAAATATAAATCATTAACTTAAGATATATCAATATTCAACTTGTCATCTTTATTGATATGAGTTAGGTTTATTTTAAATTTTTTTTACCTTGTTATGCATATAAAGATGCAGGCAAAAGATATATACATATACATATATATAGAGAGAGAGATGAGTGATCAAATAAAAACCGCCATCATTTGTGTAAACCGTGCAAACCACCTTCATTCATCGATTTCATTTTTTAATCTTATGAAATTTTTTCATGAAATTGTTTAATCTTGTGAAATTGTTTCATATAATACTTTTTTTGATGAAGTTGTTTCATATATGGTTGTGAAATTGTTTCATATAATACTTAATGAAACTGTTTCTTGTATTTCTCTAAAATTAATGAAAAATGTTTCATGTATTTCTCTAAAATTAAAATAATGAAGGTGATAATATCCATGATTAACACCCTTCACAATAAAAATGGTTAATCAACCTCTCATAATTACAAAAAAGTGAACAAAATGAAAATTTATAATTGGTTGAATGAGGTTTTCACAGTTTTTATAAATTGAGTGGTT